GAAAGCAAGCAATGTATCTCAAAAAGAATTAAAAAGGCCTAACAAAATGCTACTTGTACAATCATAGTTTCTTTCTTTTTTGAAAGGGATTCAGGTATCTTGGCAATATGTAATTTTTTTATTTTTTTTAAACACACAGCATCTTGGCCTCCATCTTGGCATAATGGCACGAATAAGAATTTATACACCTTTGTAAGATATTTAATTATCTACCAGTTTCCGGAGGGCTATTTGCCAATTTCATTAGAGAATGACAAATGTCTTCACTAATTTCACTTTCTGCAGGGAAATCAGATATTACCCAGGTTTCATCTGAGCTGTCCAAGGCTTCGCGGCATATTGGGCACGTCTTGTGTTTAACATTCCTACAAATTTAAGGGAAAGAAAGATATTTTAGAAGACAGATAAATCAAACACCAAAAGCATCAAGAGGGATTCAGCATTCACAAAAAGCAATTGAAATTATAATGTCAGACATAAAGCTTATGGAGCTTGAAAAATTACACTTGCATTTTGTGAGCTAAATCCAAACTACAATTTTGTTGTTCTTACCATTGCTCAAAACAAACCAAGCAATAACTGTGGGCACATGGCAACATAACTTCAGGTTTACGATCTAAACAAATGCAACATTCTGTCAGCTTATCCATATCCAAAATGCCACTTGCTGCTTCCTGAACCCTCTGCTCTAAAAATGTAATGGCATCTGAGCTTATAAAAGAGTGAGGGGCATTTGCCTCACTAGGTGATGCATTGCTGTGAGAAGAGTCCTGCTCTTCAACGGATTGACTCCGAGATGCCCTTCCAGACGACGATTGCTGTGCTGCAGTAAATTGATTCTGGAAAGATCGAAATACCTGGAAAATGATGCATTATGCGCATTAAATCAAAAGTTTGACAAAAACACAAACTGATTTATGCTTACAAAATAGCCATACCTTTAGAAATTGACCCAAGGTAAGAAGACGATATGTGTCAATCTTGTTGGTTGCTAGGTCAACTTTAATGCAGGCTATTCGCACAGTTCCCCTCCAAAGAATAGTAGAGTCTGTGCCTTTCTTCACTGCAAACACCATGACTTTCCCATCAGCATCCATACAATGCTTCGACCTGATAACAATAATTGAAAAAGAACCGCTTTGATGGACAACAACTAGTATTACTATAAATGAAAATGATCAAGTTCAAACTTAAAACTCACAGTTTATTTAAATCACCCATTTGCTGCTGGAACTCAGCGTATGATAGGTTAGCCATTTCAGTAAAGTTTCGAGCCTGACGGAAAACTTCATCGTGAAGAGTAGTAACTTTATCTGGGAGAGAATTTTCACAGCTGGTGTTTTGACCCATCTGGAAATTTTTCAAAGAGAGAGCTCCAGTTTATCATCAACAGTTGCACAACAACGCAAAAAGCGTCGAGAAGGCAGACAATGACAAGAAACTACGTTTTGAATAAGTGTCGGCTTTAAACGACAATTAAAAATTCAAAAAGATTTTAGTTAAAACATTCTCCTTACAGTTCAGCGGGAAATATTCACCATACAGCGAAATTTAAATTGCTTTCACAGGAAAATATTTACAACACTTCTAGCAGACGATTATAGTCGCCGTCACATTTGCAGGCTAGCCAAATAAAGTTTTGAAAACAATCAAAAACTGGATATCGAAGTATGCAAATGAATGTGTTCTCAAACAGTCTTTCCTCAGCAGGAATTTAAAGTATTTCAACCCTTTCGGTGCTAAATTATTTCCGATTTCGAGCCCGAACAGGGTCCACTCTGCGACTCTGGCTGCCCTGTACCCACCAACCCCACTTTACCCGCCAAATTCAAATGAAACAAAACACAAAAATGTATGTTGGTAGTTTTTAAATGATTTGGTCCCAGGAGAGATGCCAAGACTGATAAGGGTTCAGACCATATGATTGATTTATTTCTACATTTTTTGATAATTTAAATAAAGTCTTCTAATGTTGTGATGCAGGGCGGGGTGATGTGCGTGTCCGGCGTGTTCCTCACGGGTCGGGCCAGACGGTGCGCTCCACCCAGGCGATGTGCTGGGCCACGTCGGCGAACAGGTCGGGCAGGCGGCGTCCCGTCGCGTCCCGGGCCGTGCAGTACGTCAGCGAGGACGCCACCCCCAGGACGTAGTCCACGTACTGCTCGCCGCTGGGCGCGTGCAGCACGTACTGAAGGTGGGTGAGGGGCGTGCCCGAGTCTCCCTGCAAGGCGCAGAGAACAGAGTCAGCGTGTCTGCGCCGTCTGCGCGTGCAGCAGGGCGTGGCCACACTGTGGCGGCGTACTCACCGAGTAGGTGTCATTGTCGCAGAGCCCACCCGCGCACAAGAGGGAGGGCGAGTAGCCGTCGGGGAGGGCCCTCTTAAGCCTGTCGTTGCTGAGCAGAGCGGAGGAGCACTTCTTCGGGGTGCGCACGGTCAAAGTGTTGTTGGGCAAGACGTAGTACATGTTCTCCCCTACGATCGGAAACGGAAAGAAAACGATAATCAAGTGATTTCACGATTTCGGGGCGAGACTATGAAATGCGTTTCCCTCACAGGTGCCCTGGATGTTGTAGCCCGCGGCCGAGGCCCGCAGGCCCGGCCCAAGCGCCACGTCGGACAGCGTGTTGAGGCAGAGAGGGAAGAACTGCCGCAGGTCGAAGGACTTGGTGAGCGTGACGACGGCCAGGTCGGCGTAGGCGCGGCCCCGCCGGTACTCCGGGTGCACGATGATCTTGTCCACGTCCGCGATGCCGGTATCCGTGCAGTCCGACGGCGAGTTCATGGTCACCTGCGTGAGCGGTAGGCTGGGGGCAGACAAGGGGACGAGGGGGAGCATGGTGACGCGGAGCACGGCACGGGTGCGCGGCAGACTCACCAGCCCAGCGCGGCGCAGCGGCCGGCGGTCAGCACCGTGCTCGGGGACACGAGGGCGCCCGCGCAGCTGTGCTGCCGGTTGTAGAGATTGTCGCCGTACCGGAACGACACGGTGCCGTGGTTTCGGACCTCCCACTCGCGGTGGCGGTAGCTAGACGGGTGGTTGTGATGGCACGCGCTGTCCAGCGTTAGGTCGGGTTTCACGTGCTTCATGAAGGATTGGTAGGCCGGGCAGAACTCGACGTGGTACGCCCTGCACACTGCAAGAGGGAGGAAACTGGCCTGTCCAGCTGTCCAGTAATGAACTAGCATTAATCATGTTTGACTTTCGCACTCACCCCCGCGAGCGATGGTACCCGGCCCAGAGTCCGGCAGCCGCACCTCGCGGTTGTCGAACTTGATGCGTACATTATTCACGCACCCATCCGATCTGGTCGGCCAGACGATTCGCTCGATCCACGGCACGTATGCGGCCACTCTGGGGGGGAAGGGGAAACAAACTGCATTAAAATCACATTAAAGGGTCGTCTCTGTTGGCCAGTTGCGTCTGGTCAGCCGGGAGGGTAGGCAATAGTGAGGCACGCGTGGTCGTCGGGACTGCCTATCTATAGACCCACAGGAGCCCTCCTGCCCCGACCTGCTCCACCCTACCTCGTGTAGATGCCTGGCTTCCCCAAGCCGCACGGCGGCCCAAAGGACACGACTCCGATGATGCGATAGATACAAGTCTCTGTATCCTTCGGGTTCGCCCGCATCTGGAGAGGGCCGCCCGAATCACCCTAGAATAGGAGAAGTCGTTTATTTAGGTCAACAATAAATGTAAATATGTTTCATTACGTTTGAAGTACCGTGTGTCGAGTACAAGACGCGGCAGTGGTTATGGGTTTGTCCTCCCACTGCGCCCGTAGACGTCATCCCCTGGAGTGTTGTTGTTGGCTAACGGTATAGTGGGTTGCTCACCTGACAAGTGTCCTGGTTGTCCTCCCCTCCACCCGCGCACATCTGGGTGTCGTCCACAAGGCCGCGAGGCAGTTTCTCAGGTTGTAGGTCCACGTTGTCCCTGCAGTACTGTAGGTTACGCACGGTCAGATTGACCCGGATCAGGGTCTGACTGGCGTCCTCCACTGTTGGGTAGTAGAGCAACGATTAAGATGTTTGGTTGGGGCCGTATTTTACAAGGAAAGTCTCAGTTTTGTGCTCACGGTAACCGGTAGCTCCCCAGCCCGTCGCCACGGCCTCTTGCCCCGTGTTGTCCAGGTCCACGTCTGTGTCCAAGCAGGCCGGATACACTTCCTCCGCCTTCACTCTGACGGGACGCTCCAGCCGCAGGAGGGCGATGTCGTGGTACTTTAAGTTCCCGACATACTCGGGGTGCACGATCACCTCCGCCACCTGTAAGCACGGCGGCGTTGAAGGGGGCTGCGTCGACAAACCTGTTCAGACCCACATTTCTTGGTCCGGTCCTGAACCTTGATCAGTTGGTGGGTGTCGTTGACCTTGGGTTCCCGGCTTGTGCGGTTGGTTGCCCCCAGGAGTGCCCAGCTCGCCGGTTGTCTGCCAGTTTAACATAAACAATTTAAATCACAATTATTCAAAAATGATTTTTCAGACAAAGTTTGTGTTTTTGATGGCAGTGTCGTGGGGGGGGGGGAGGGGAGGGACGCAGTTTTGCATGATTAGGAAGGCAATACTGTACCCCGAGAGTCTGGCGCAGTGGGCGGCAGTGAGGATGAAGTCGGGCGCGATCAGCGAGCCTCCGCAGGCGAACTGCAAGTCGTCTCGATCCCCATAGCCCAGCAGGGCCTGGCGACAGATCGGCATGCGCCGGGTCAGTCCCGCCGCTCGCGGCTCTGAGGATAAGAGGGTCTGCTTGTGCTTACCATATGGGGGAACTCCAAGATGTCGACTGGCACTCCGAAGGCTGGGCAGGCCGCCTGAAAATGCTCCTTCGGCAGCGCGCACAAGTCGTCCTGGTGTTTCCTGCACACTGTACGTCGCCCCAGACCGGGCATTCCAGCCAGTAAAGTTGGGTGTCGAGGAGAGGGAGGGGATTATATATTATGGCTAAAACTTACTCCTTCTGGCCAATGCTCCCGGCCTTCTGTCGTTCTGGTCTGGCGTCCGCACTCTGCTCAACTCCTCGCAAGTCATGGCGGGTGCGGCGAAAGGGTTGAGCTCCGGCACCGCGTCAGGGCAGGCTGAGGGACAAAAGCACACCAGGTGACGTTGCAGGGACTCCACTATGTTGGCTGCCCGCCTTCGCGCCGCGCCAGGAGTCACCCAGAAAGTACGCCGGTCATTCGCCGTTACGAACCTGCCAGGTGCAGCCTATGCAAGTTCTCATAGCGCCTGGTGGGTAGGCAACGTCTCGCCTGCAGTGCATGCGTGTACGGCGGTGTGGCCTATCCCGAGTCTCGCAGGCGCTCTGCGCTCAGCTCCCGAACGAATCTGAGGGTAGGCCTGAGGGCGATGGAAACGGGCGTACTTTCCGGGCGACCCCCTACGACGCGGCGCCGCCACTCGGTACCCACAGCGGTCGTCGCCGTTGTACTGGGACCCGCGCTGGGCGCAGCACACGTTGGGGACGTGGGGGTTCTTCTCCGAGAAGCCGCACTGCTGGGGGCGGCGCGGCGGCCGCTCCCGCAGGCCCTGGAGGGCGGCGGGGCAGCGGTCCAGCGACACGCACTGCTCCCCGGGCCGGCACGACGACGTCGCCGCCGCGGCTGGAAGAGACACAGAGCTGCCGGTCACGACCCATGTTGGCAAAAGGAGAGGTGCTGCATCTCACGGGAACGCCCCCACCTCCACGGCAGAGCGACGCCAGTGCGGCGCACAGGACAAGCCACGGCGCCATCCTGATCAGCCTGGGGACGCGGAAGGATCGCGACTGGGGGAAGACCGGGCGCCGCGCCTGGGTTACAGTCCTGGAGGTTCATGCCAGAGTCTGTCCCCCCCCCCCCCCCCTTCGTCTCATCCCACGCTGCCGTGTGCGTCATGCCCTCCAGGTCCAGGGCCTGCCGACCGCTCTGCTTGCTCTGCCGGCTCTGGCCTGCCGCGTTTGGCGCCCACCACTGTGCGATGACGCGCGAGCAGGACTCGCTCGGTGCGGGGGGTATACATACGTGCGTGCACCGCGCTGCGTGCGCCTGCGACTGGGCTTGCTCCCGTTCGCTCCAGACCCGAGTTCTGTCGAGTGTGGGCGTTCCCTATATGCACGCAACTACGTGCGCCACCCTCTCCGCTTCAATGAAACAATTTCTTGTGTACTTTTCTTGAATTTCTTTTTTATTAACAACAATGCCATAATAATAATTTTTTAAAA